TTCTTTAATCAGTGAATCTAGACTATATCCATCCCTTTGAGGCACTTTTCATCTTATAGCTAACTACAGAAGGCAAAAACCTCTTGAAACATTCTTTTAAAATCAGATCCTCAATCTGTCTGCAAAAGTGGTTCAGACAATCCCCTTTCTCCCATCCCTGCCCAGTTGGTTGTAGTTTCTTTACATAATAATTGTGTGTCTTCCCTTTTGCTTATAAACCTGAATATGTGATGAACGGGTCCTCTTTCTGCTTCCCCTTTGATGTCAGCTGTAACACACATTGCTAACCAAACTGCTCAGTACCTAATGTACCAGGAGAATGGGGCCTTTCCTGAACTAACTCTGTGTGTATTTTAATTCAGGTTTATTAGATTTGTTGCTTTTATGGGTTTTGGCTTGTCCTTTGAATGCTCTCTACAAAGCTGGCTGAAATGGTGACATCTGGTGGTAATGCTTATTATAATTTTAAAGTATTTCCTTCCTTGTCGGAAGGATTAATTAGGTGCTCCTTGTTCCTGTTACCTCGGGGTGAGTCCCCTTTGCCCTGCTGACAGGAGTTGTGATGCTGACATCAGGCAGTTCCCATAGGATGTAGGGACGTTTCAGGGACATCAGAATGTAAAGCCAAACAGGCAGGGCTCCAGCCACACTGGCCCAGCCATACAGTCCCTGGGGCTAGTGAAAACTCAAGTCGTTTTAACTTGAGCCCATACTGATTCCCTCGCCAGCCCAGCTCCGGCCTAGTGGGGGGCAGAGAAGTAGCATTAAACTTCTGCTGCTTCTCTCAGCAGAATTGAGGATGGAGCTCTTTATTATCACATACTATTTATCTGACATGTGGGGCCGCATCTGAGACTGGGGCCTTATTTTGCTGGGCACTGTGGACATAAGCAGTCACACTGTCCTTGCTATATAGAACTAAGAGTCTGAGAATTTATAGTCATGCTTTATAGTCCATTTGTAATTAATAAATGATTAACAGAGATTATGAATAAGCTATACATGTAAGTCACGAGTATATACATGGAACACAACACTTATCAGTCATTAATTAACCCCATAAAAATGGAACCTCGGTATAAAATCTGACCAAACTTACATGGATTCGTTCCAATCATGTCAAAGGCTATCACCACTTTCTCTCCAAAATCTGAATTCTTACCTGACACTGTCATTCCAATTAGACCTTTTTAGTTCCTTTATGGGAAACAGGCAGGAGTGTCTTTGTGAAACTCTACTGATGGGCTGATTGGACATAATTAGCAGCAAGACTCATGGAATTAGTTAACATTTACTGTTATAACGAACCCCTAGAGGCAGATGTGCCGATTTAAAGGCAGCTAAATAGAAAATTGTGCACTGTACAGTTGAACCCCTGATGGCCGAATGTTGCAGGAGGTAAGCATCTCAGGGCCCATTTCTTTGCAAGCCCACGAAGACAGCAGTTAAAAATGCTTGTAACAATGAAGGCTGATTCCTTCAGTAGAAGGGAAGGTGACATATATATTATCAGTGGCCCCCCACCAGCCTTTAGAGAGAGGATACAGTAGCAGAGCAGGAGACCTAGAGTATATTCTTGAACAGCTGTGAGTGAAGGCAGCTTTTTCAGCTCGCCTTTGAATTGGTGAAAAAAGATTTCCAGACAGCCAGTGACAAAAATTGCTGCCATTAGCTCCTTAACACAGGGCACTATAGTCATAATCCTGAGTTCTACAAGATGCCACCAGTGTTCTGTGGAAGGGAAAAGCACCTGTACCAGGCTCCACCCAGCATTACAGGCCTTTTTATGGCACCCCAACATTACTTTTCTCTTGTCCCCTCTTTCCTGCATCCAGCATGGTAAGGAGCTACCATAGAGGCATCACAGTAAAGAAAGCACCTGAGATACAGGCCTTGAGTATGCATCAGGTGCTGGACTGGACAGCTTGATGTCTGGTCAGCAGACAGGCCTATGTGAGCAATATTGTGGGGAGAGTTCCATTCACTTGGAATCTGTGTCCCAAAGCCACCTGTGCCTCCGGTGCTTTGATCTCCATCTGGCATGTTCAATGGGGCATCATGGCAGATTGACAGCATGCAGCAAGGGATGGGGCTCTGGCAACCAGAAAATTAAAATCTATTTTTTTAAATTATCTTTCTCCTCTGTCCAACCCTCCCCCCACCTTCCCAATTTGATTATTAACCTCACTATGGTTCCAGCTCCAGCCCATAACTCCACACTGAATGGAGGAGCATTGCTGAGGCTCTCTTTCCATGTGGCCTGCTTGGGTTCAAACCAGAAAGACATAGACACACACACAAATAACTGGCTACATAAGCAAATCCCATTGTCTCATGTGAGGGTTTTAATCCCTGACTCCCAATGCAAACCAGATGTCTGGGACCTATTGTATGGAAAGAACACTTTGGACACAATCCTGTATAAGCTCTGTTTTGACAATTAAAAACACAGAAGATATATTGCACCCAAAGTCTTAAGGGGAACACCTTTTCACCTTGGCATTAGGGAGAATGAAACTATGGGATTCTTCCAAAGAGCTTGAAGGTGGGTGGGGATTTTGTTTTGTCTTTTTGGTACTGTTCCCAATAAAGCAGAAAAACAACCTCTTTCTTAAGACAACAGTAGAACAACTGATAGAGTTAATTGAACAAAAGCCACTCTGAGCAATTTGGTATGATGCAAAATGTCCCTGAAGTTGTGCTGTGCACCTTCTGGGTTCCAGCTATTTTATAGTAACTAAAAGACAGGCATAAGGAATTAAATATGAATCTCCATCCACATGCTGCCAGGATTCAGTGGGCTGTTGAGAGCCAAAGTTCTGTCTTTGGATCTAATAAATGACTACCACTTGGCTTTCAGAGTGGGTGAAGACTACAGGATGCTAACTTTGAGGGAGAGAAGGGAGCAGGGGAGGCTGTGCCCTTAGTTTCACTTGGGCTAGGGACAGACGTTCAAAAAGCCTGAGCCTGAATTGATTCAATCTTTGCAGGTTAGTTTGACTTGCAGAGATTGAACTGATTTGCAAGTGGATAGACATTCACTTTTGAATCAAGAAATGCAGGCACCTGCTTGCAGTAGCTCAGGCTAGGTGCCAGGGGGTGCTAGAGTGAGCCCTCCCTTCCCTTCTAGAGTGCTGAGCTATGGCCAGGCTATGGCCAGGCCCTGGCAGGACACTATTATTAGGGAGGTATAGGCAGGCTCTGCCTGCATCTCCTGCAGCAGGGGTGTGCCTGGAGGGTGAGGGGGAAGCAGTCCTCACCAGGCTTTCCCCCCACCCCCCACTTGCTGCTCAAGGGGCAGGGAGTGTTGCCAGCCCCCAGCCCCAGGCTACTACTCTGAGGCAAAGCAGGGGGAGAGGACTGTTTGTGTGAACTGCATGCATCCCTTGATGATACTGAACTTTGCAATCTCCCTCTCCCTGCTTCTTCATACTGTCTGCAGCAAACTGATGGCACCCACATGTTGTATTCACTGCAAACCAGGTAATTTCTCACACTTCTCTCTGGCCCCTGTTGAACACTGACAGATTGCGGGCTTTGAAGCAAGCCAGCAGCCAGGAACACAAAGCTCATCAGCCCATCAAGTCCTACAAAAGAAAACAAATGCATCTCTCTCATTAGTTTCAAGCTCTTCTTATCTGCAGGGTGCATTTGCATTTGCAAGCCACTGGCTTCTAGCCCTAAGTGGACACTGTTCTGTCGGCTGTTGTTCCAGTGAAATTGGGAGAAACACACACAGACACCTCTCAGTATTAGCTAGCATGAGGGAGCATGGCAAAATGCTGGCGGTGGTCCATGCCACTGGGGTCCCTGCTTGAGCAGCAAGTGGCTGAGGCGGGAAGGGGGAAGCCTGGCAGATGCTGCAGTCCCCCACCTCCTTCTCAGCCAGCCGCAGTTCCGGCTAGGGAGGAAAGGGCCAGTCCTTCTCTCTGGAGTAGACAGCACAGCCTAACCCAGGGCTGAAAAGCATGCTGGGATGCTGGGGGACTCTGATTTAACTTAAACCAGGAAGGGGTCTGGGACAGAAATTCCATAAACTGGTTTGACCCAAATCAGTTAAGTCTGATACTACATTCAACCAGGTTTATCTTAAACTGGTTTCAGCCATTTTGAAACTGGTTTATGTTCGCTAAACTGATGTTCTGTTACAGGTTTAAACCTATTTCTGATCACTTAAACCAGTTTATGTGTAACTTCTGTCCCTAGCCTTGGAGATTAGCTGCTGTAATCCTCGGGAAGTTGTCCCTGGGGTAACGCTCATGCCTGCTGTCGTAGCAGACAGAATCAAATGCAAGTTGAGAATACGTTCCCTTTGTAAACCACTATGTGGTTTCCCCCTCTCCGTATAAGAAAAGGAAAAGGAATGCTATATTTTTCAGTCACAGACCCATTATCCGTCTCAAACAGTCCATGTACATCAGGTTCCACGCTGAAAGCTACATAAAACAGCAATATCTGCCGCTCTCCTTTGGAACAGAGCTACCTGATTCCTCCCAGTGCACCCCACATGCAGAAGGCGAGCCGTTTCTCTGTATGCTGGTAAGTGAGTCGGAGCAAAGCCAGTGGAGGCCCTGACTGAGGAGCAATCGGCTAATAGCTAAAGCATAGTATTTCCTAATGAAGCAAGTACTTTGGTCCTTTCTCTGGCACCAGCTGTCCCCTTGGAACAATCAGAGGGCTTTTCTAGACTCTGAGGCTATTAGGGAATCAAGAGGAAAACACATCACATACGTACCTTCAGGGCCTTGCCAGCATGTCTGATCAGTTAATACTACACCAAGGCCAGCCAGACTTCTTCCTGGGCAATTGTGAAGAACTGTGGCTAAGGCAGTTCAATTGCTCTTTGTAGGCGGTTATGCCTGGAAATTACTAAAGTCTGATATGATAAGTGGGACTGGCCAATCGTTTTGGTACAGGGGACTATACATTATCTTTAGACTCCAGAAGAAAAATAAATTATGGTTTACTGAGCAGGGGGAAAAGAATGTTGGCTTGCTCACCCTGTTTTCTGAGTAATCGCGTGTCCAGCCCTCCGTCTGAAACCCACATCAGTTGACGTTGTCATTGCTCTAGCCTCTTGGTTTAAAATGGAAAGCGCCGTTACTCATTATGGACAGCAGAAGACATCAAACTTTTAGGCAGGGACCTACCACAACAAAATGAGTCTGCCCCTTCTGATACACACCCCTTCCCACAGTGTCTGTGAGCCCACATGGCATAAGAAGAAGACTCTTGAGCTACCATCAGTCATGGCTAAAATACATTTTCTTACTCACATGGTTTATTATAAACCCTTGCCAGCTGAGAACTGAATACTGTTTATGCCCTGACCTCCCGTGTTTTGTTATTGTAGGGTTGTACGGTGAATCGTTTGTTTTTGCAGAGTTTGCTCCTGAGTCCAGAGCCACAAAGGTAGGTCTGTCGTTACAAAGCAGATAACTAAGCTCTGGAATCCATAGCTGCTTTTTGGTGTAGGATTGTCACACTCAGGTCTTGTCTACATTGCAGAGCTCTGCTGGCAAAACCCCTGGGGTGGACACAGGTCTTGCTGGCAGCACCATTGCTCAGGAGAACTGCTCTGGTAGCAGAAAATCTCCTTCCTGGGGGAGAAACGCCTAGGGAAATTATACCTTTCTGTTGCCACCATAATTAAGGTGGCTGTAGCCCCCATAGTATAGATATATCTTGAGGCTTTTTGAACCTGTTTCACCATCTATGAAATGGATAATAATGCTGATCTACCTAACATTGTTTTTTTTTTTTAATGATGGTACATTCTTGTTATATAGAGTTTGATTTTTATTGGTCCCTCACTGTTTGCTGAGTACCTTGGGATCCTGGAAGTAGTGGCTTAGCAGAGGTGCAGAAGGTGCTGCTTCGTGCCTCCCTAGTGCCCGGCAGGTCCTCCAGCAGTGAGGTTAAATGGGGTGAAGCGTTCACCAGGTTCTGAAATGTCACTGTTTCCCCCTCCCACCCGCACTCCACTTTCTTTGCACGACATAGAACTAAATGTCAGACCACAAAAACAATCCAGCACAGGTTTGTTTTGCATCTCACTGCAGGTGTGGCTGCTCCGGCAGCAAGATCCATCCCCAGCCACCTCCCACATACGCACTCGCACACCACTTAGCCACTTCCTCCAGTGTATTCCCAGAAACTGGCAAACACAAGCTTATGACTTGTCCCCAGCCAGGAGGAGGCTTTTAAAGTTTTTATTTTACTGTTCTATTTATAGACACCTTTCTCCAAGGAGTTTCTCTCCTTCTTCTTCTGTCTCATCCCCACTATATTTGGGGATGAAGATAGAAATTCTTGGTTGTTTGCAATTGGGAGCTTGGTCATAAATAGGTTTTGCCCAATAAAACCAGTGTTGAAGCTAAATGACAGCATTTGTCCAAAGGATTTTGTTATCATGTGTAAACAAAGGCCCTGATCTTGCATTCTTTGTGCACCCAAACCTCCAATGAAATCTCCAAATAAAACTCCATGAGCTTCACCTGCTTTCCCCTTCCATACTCCACAAAATCACATGTTCCACCCCTAGCCTCCCTCAGTGTGTTCCACAGCCTCAGTGATTGCATTGACCAACGTTCTTGGTTGCAAGCGGAAATTAAAAATGAAGGATTTTGATGTAGTGTCAGGGGTAAGAGTATTTCCCACAGCAGGGGTCCCAAAGAGTAAGGATGTGCTCGGGCTATAAAATCTGCATCAGAATTGGGTCCCAATTTTAAATAATGCCTTTCCCCCAGAGTGTAGGCATGTTGTAACTCAAGGTTTCATCTGTAATCCAAGCTAAACCAAGCATTCTAACCTTATGGTTTACCAATACCAGCTACATCATCACTTAAGAATCAAACTTGCCCAAACTTAGTGTCAGACTGAGTCATTCTAGAGAGGATTGCTTGATTTCTTGGTTTGCTATAACCTCAATGTTGATTTACATCCCTGAAAACGCATGGCTAGTTCTGTAAGGTTCTGTATAATGAACTTGTATGCTTTATCATATTAAATTCTAGACATTGCTTGCTGGAAGAATTCTGCTCTTGCTTCCTTTGCCCTGTATCTTATTTCTTCATTTAGTATTTAATACCTATTTAGTCAGTTGCCTACAGAATCTATTTGCTGGTGTGTTTTGTAGCCACATAAGCCAGTCACTTAGCCTTCATTTTTCAATCATGCACAATTTCATAATAAGTTATTCATTTTAAATATTAAGCAAGGATGCAAGTTGACAGAATGTTATCACAGGCAGAAAACTACAAACAAACAATAATTTCCTTATCTGCTCTTATTTGAAGGTTGGATGAAGTGCTTTAAAGTGAGAAGCTGTAAGGGCCTGTGCTATTCAACATCTTTATCAGCAACTTGGAGGTGGGCGTGGAAAGCACGCCGTCCAAATTCGCTGATGACACAAAGATGTGGGGAGAAGTGGACACACTGGAGGGGAGGGACAGAATCCAACTAGATCGAAACAGATCACAGAGGTGGGTGGATGAGAATAGAATGGGATTCAATGCAGACAAATGCAAGGTGCTGCATCTAGGGAGAAGGAACCAGCACCACACCTATATGCTGGGGAACACCCTTCTCATCAACATGGTGGCTGAAAGGGATCTTGGAGTCCGTGTTGACTCCAGGATGGACATAAGCTGCCAATGCGAGGAAGCAGTCAGTAAGACTAACCACACCTTGTCATGAATCTACAGATGCATCTCAAGCAGATCCAAGGAGGTGATCCTCCCCCTCTATGCGGCGCTGGTCAGGCCGCACTTGGAGCACTGTGTCTAGTTCTGGGCGCCGCACTTCAGGAGGGATGTGGCTAACCTTGAGAGGGTCCAGAGGAGGGCCAGTCACATGGTCAGGGGGCAGCAGGGCAGGCCCTACGAAGATAGACTTAGGGGGCTGGTCCACAAGAGAAGACTGAGAGGGGATCTGGTGGCCATCTATAAACTCACCGGGGGGGCCAGCGGAAAACAGGTGAGGCTCTGTTCCTCCAGATACCACCTGGGATAACAAGGAATAATGGCCACAAATTGACTGAGAGCAGGTTCAGGCTTGATATCAGAAGGCGTTACTTTACGGTTAGGGCTGCCAGGCTCTGGAATGGGCTCCCAAGGGAGATGGTGCTCTCCCCTACCTTGGGGGTCTTCAAGAGGAGGTTGGATAGATATCTGGCTGGGGTATTATGATCCCAGCACTCGTTCCTGCCCAGGGCAGGGGGTCGGACTTGATGATCTGTTCAGGTCCCTTCCAACCCTAGAAACTATGAAATTATGAAACTAAGGTTTAAAAATCTTCATAGGGGAAAATTGTAGTCCTACAGAACTGCTCAGGAGACCAAGGAAGGTTTGGGGAGCCTGTCCCACCCAAACCCAGTACTTGACAATAAGATCAAATAAATTTTAGCAGCAATTTTAATATTGAAATACAAATGGTATATGAATGACAAGATGATACAGATTAAGCTTTTCAAACCAAATATTTAAATGCTCATCAATAATATATTTTTTAATATTTGAATATAAAGATTAATCCTAAATTTAAAAGCCTCTAATAGGTGGCTCTAATAGGGAAAAGGGCTTGTTACCCAGGCTTAAAACTAAGGGCCTTCTTAGGGCCTTGTTACACAGCAATTTTGGGAGGCTTCTGGAGCTCTTTATCCCTGAATTGTCCACACATTTTAACACCTTAAAGGGGTTTAAAGTGCAGCTCAAAGTTACTCCACCCAGAGCAGGATTATCTCTGATCTGCACTATCCAGCTCCTGTTCCATTAAGGTGTGGCCCGTCGCTGCAGATGTGCTGCCCAAATTGAAGTCCTCTAATATCCCAGGAGCTCTCACATCCCCACCCATCGAGTAGGGATAGAAGCCTGTCCTGGCTCACCAGCCTTGTAGTGGCAACTCCTAGCTACAGCTCCTAGTCCTGCCCCTGCTCACCAGGTTTCTAGTGGCAAGTCCTAGCTGTGCAAGTGGGGGACAGTCAGAGAAGGTTTCTTGACTAGGGGTGTGACTGCTCCAAACTCCAAGCTAGCACTGATACTAATCAACATTTGTGCAGCTTGCAGAGTGAGGTGTAACAAAGTCCTACATTTCAAAGAAGCACTTACGTTGGTTCATCTGCATATGGGCCATTCAGCAAGGACCATAGTTCAAAGCTAAAGAGCAAAGATTTTGAAGTATCTGGATTTTTATACCTGATTACCTGACTCAACTTCAAAAGCTTGCTATTAAGGCTAGATTATATAGAAATGTGCCTAATGATTTATTTCATTATTAATACCAATATGAAGTCTGTCTAATATGGTTATTAAGTGTATCTGGCTTGTTGTCAAGCAGACATACCTATTTTTAACCCCCTGTATAAATGGTGTCTGCCTTAAACCAGAGTGAGCTGGTGTAAACCTACTGAATGACTTTAAGTGACCCTGAACTGACACCTCTTAACCTTTCTTTTGCCTTCTGAACTCTTCTTGCCAATGACATTTTCTCGTCTACTCATTGCCTTTGCCTCTTTGTATCCTACCCAAATTCTAGTCAAGCAGATGTAAGCAGTTGCTATAAGATATCACTATTAAACAGCTCAGGGCCTACTACAGTCTACAAAATACAAGTCCTAAATGGTTCTTTTACCTACCAGAGAAAGGCACAGCAAGAACCAGTGACTGGAAGCTGAAGCCAAGACTACTTCAAACAAAAAATAAGGCAACATTTTTTCACCGTGAGGATGATAACTAGAATAGGGGCCAGGGCAGTTGTGGATCGTCTGTCTCTGGCTGTATATGAAGAAAAGTTGCCCTTCTGGAAGAGGCACTTGGATCAAAAGCATCTTATTGGCTTTGTACAAGTGTCTCTGGGTGAAACATCATGGCCTGTGTTGCCCAGGTGTCTAATGGTCTATTCTCATTCAACATTTTCTATTATATAAAAATGTTAAGATTTTTTTTTAAATCAAAAGCCTCTGTCATGGCAAATGCTGAATGATTTTTGCATTTTACTGAGTTAAGCCACTTAAAATAAATTGGTGACTTTCACTTTTGAGTTTCAGGCTCAGATTCACAAGTCAGTGGTGAAACAGATTTTTAAAGTCTGGGTTGTAGAAACCAAACAAGCAGTGTTTGCACTGGATTGCATTGGACTTTTACTAGTCATGGAAACAGTTCATCAGTCTTAGGGGTCAGAGAACCTAAAGATGAGGTCTGACCTTCTCAGTGAAATGTATTCATTTGCAGAGGACTCTGTGATACTCAGACAGCTGAAGTTGTCAGGTTTGTCCAAGTAGTACATGCAAGTCTTTTGTGTGGAGGTGAATGTGGCCCAGTGTCTCTAGCTACAAAATGATGATTGAAATGCAGATATTTTCTGCTGTGCTGACAAAACAAAGTCTGGTTTGCATTTCTTTGAGCTGTAGCTAGCTGAATTATGATCTGTAATCCAGCTCTGCTATATACACACACTCAACTGTTGCTTTACTTTCCTCATTCTCAGTTTAGACCAAACATCAGACACCTGGTGACACCTCGAACTTTGGTAAAAAGATCTGCCTCTAACTCTAGTCCTTTTCTGTCCCGGTCGTGAATTTGCCAAGATGACCGGCATCTCTAAAGAGACTGTCCACTGAAGCTGTCCTTCATATGACAACATTTAAGAAAAAGGTAACATAACCACAGGCTGCTCGCAAACAAACAAACAGGATCATGCAGCTGCTCTGGCATGGGCTCCAAGGAAAACAGTGCTCCGCTTGAAACACTGTCGCTATTTTCATTTGTACCCTAGCAGATGAGAATGATATTTTGCAGAACACAGCATGACCCGTTCTAACGCCTGAACACAGAATAAAACAACCACTGCCACAAAAAGCCAGTAGTAAATGTGAAGTATCTCATTTAAATGCTTAATTAAGTTAGAGCCCTAATATTGAAACTCTTCTATACAGAGCCTGGTCCAAAAACTGCCTGACACGGTGTAGTTCAAACTCACAAGTATACACTCCCCTTCCATGTTGATTTAAAGACTGAGAAGGATTAGGCTTTCCTAACAGGAATCAAAAATAAGTTCCACAACTAGAAGCACTTAAAACTCGAGTCCCACAACCCCCATCCCCCTCTGCCCCCAGGTTATATTTAGGAGTAGTCAATGTAGAGACCAAACCTGACTGCATAAAACCATTGTGGTCATACAAGAAAAAGCAAGTCAGAACCATGCTGTAGTTAGATAGCACTATTGCTTATGATCCTACAAGTGAGGGAAACAACAAGCAGCTCGAGCAAAGGGCTTGTGCCAGAATTCAAAATCTTTCATCACCATGTGACAGCAGGGATGTGATGTGATGCCTTAGGATATACACTATGGCTAACAGATATAAAGATGCCTGTTTCTCAGGGTCTCGAGAGACTTAAATTCAAAGTTTATAGAGCACCTTGACATCTGCAGGTAAAAGAACCTTATATAAATTTCAGTTTGTCTCCAATTAGAAACACACCTGTCCTAGGCTTCTGTTTATCTAGTCATCATATTAAAACCACGCATTCACACAAAAATACTGACAGCAAACCACATTACTAAACTAAGTTCATTGGCCTCAGCCAACAAGGAGGCCGTGATGAAAATAGCTAGGATAAACCAGAGCCGGTCCCCAACCCCACTCTTAAAGATCCCAACCAAGTAGACTGGTTTTGTAACATAGCTTTGAGGGCAAGCTGGTCAGGTCATTTCAAACCCACCAGGTTTATCACTCAAGAAGGACCACTGCCCATAGCTACCCATGAAAATGAAATGGCTCCTGCATTTCTGTCTTTCCCTGTCTCATTCCCTGGTATGATAGCCCAGGGGAAGAGGGGGGCTCTTTAGCAAGCTCTTCCCAAGTCTTGTAGAACGTTATGTAAATGAAAAGTATAATTATTATTACCTGTGCTTCTGGTGTGGAGCTAAATTAGCATTTGCAAGGAGCACAGCTCTTCCTCTGAATGAGCTCAAAGTATTAGTAATGGTGTTAGCAATGTTGTTGAGATTTTGCTGGCAATCAGGTGAGAGATTTCAAAACTGGAGGAATGAGATCAAATAATTAGACCTTTGTCAGCAGCCTTCGCATCCTAGTAAATATATCTTTAACCTCTTAAATGCTGGCAACTTGTAGAGAATAAACGTCATCTGTTTACAGAGCTGTGTGGGCAGAGAAAGGGTTTATCCAAACCACATTCATACCTACCTAATATTTTTCTGACACTGCTTTGACTGCGGCTGGTAATTTATGGTTGCTCCTGCTGGTCAGTGGTAAAACTGGAAGCAGAAAGGGGCCAATATCAGAAGATGCACATTAGGAGCAGTTGGAGGAGGGAAAAGGGGGAGAAACCTAGTATTTTAAAAACTAATATTTCCTTCCTGATATTTAGTTGACTAAAAATCTGTTCCTCTCCTCCCCCAAATTAAATGTTCCAAACTATTATAATCAGCCTTGGAGAAAGATTGTTAAATTCACATGCCACCGGAGAGAGTAAAAAGCTACCACAGGATTTAAAATGTGCCAGGAGAGCAGGTTAGCTGACAGAATAAACTGTGTCTGAAGCAAGAACAAATTAAGTTAGGAGTGATTTTTTATCTTTCCTGTATTTAGGCATTTAAAAAAAAAAAATATATATATATATATATAGTCACTGTGACTGTAGCAGATCAGTGAAACTCCAGCAGAGGGCACTCCTGGCTAAATTTGGGAGTAGCTATACCTGAGGAGTAAGACATTAATGGAATGACAATGTTGACGCAGCTCACCAAGTCTAAGCTCCATGGGAAGGATGGGAGGAAAAAGCACTACATTGCTGGAGGACATTTTTGTACTTGGATACAGTAACATGATATAAGAAGGAAGAACAATAAACGCCCACACTCAGTCTCAAGGGTTTGTGAAGCTGATTGCAAGGTGTTGCCAAGTAAAGCCTTAGGTACTAAACAAATGTTTCTTGATTGTCTGCATCCTTGTAAGGAATCACATCTCTATTGTCTATGAATTTGTGTATACCATATCTGTATACATGAATTTTCATTTCCACGTAGGAGAAATTTGACAATCTTTGCATTTTTCCTGTGCCTGAGAAAGGGTGTGTGTGTCTGAAAACTTGCAACTAAAAATTTTTTTTTGCAAATACCTAGTTGGTCTAATAAAAGATATCACCTCTGCCATATTTCCTTTTGTGCAGGCACACACACATATAATGTACGGACACCCATAGGCCTCTTATTGTAGCTACCCATCTGAGGAATGGACAGACTAGGAATTAAAGTATTATGCAGCTCAGGTATATCCTTGAATATACAGAAATTTTCAAAAGCAACAGAATTGGGTTGTTATTTTTGGGCTGGGTGGCTCATGCTCAATGTTGACTTGTGCTTGTGAGTCTGAAAGTGGGCACAAGCTCTAACTCTATTATGGAAAAAGAGCAAATAAAGGAAATCCTCATTGTCAAAATTATATAAGTTAGAGTATAATAAATATACATGGCTATTATTGGCAAGATGGATTGCTTGCCTATAGTTTAGGAGAGGGAACTGGTGATGTGGAGAAGGAGGGGTTTTGCCTCCTCTTAAAAAAAACTCAAACAGTTCTGCTTTATATAACAAGGAAAAGATATCACAAATTCAATGAGATCCTTGGGCTCAAGAGTTTCATAAAAGTTCATGCTGTATAAGTCTTAGAATCATATGCCCTATGCCAAGGGTTTTTAACTAGGGGTGTGCGTACCTCCAGGGGGACTTGGAAAGGTCATAGGGGGTACACGCGGGTGGGCGGGGATGGAGCGAACCCTGGGGGGCGGCAGTGCCTCCCTTGGCATGTTCCCATACATCCCCTCTTACCCTGGGGGAAGGCAGGGGTGCGCTGGGCACTGCTGGCTCCATGCGGCACACCGCGGCGCTTTTCCCACCCCAGCTCACTCATCTGATTGGCCGCCAGGAGGCAGCGAGGTGCAAAGGGTCTGAATGGCAGGGGGGAGTATGTTTCTGTGCCCACTCCCAGGAGCAGGGCGGGGGCGTGAGGGTAGTGGTGACCCTCTGTGGACATATGTGGGGCAGGGGGGCTTGCATGTGACGGCCGCTGCCACCACCCACCACCTCGTGCTGCTGCCTCCAGGAATGGCTGAGAGGGCATGAGGGCAGTGGCACCCCTCTGCAGGCCACACAGGCGCCACCCAGCCAGCCGGACGTGGGAGGGGGCTTGCATGTGGTGGCTGCTGCTGCCGCCCATCACCCCACACCACCACTCACCACCCGGCGCCACTGCAGGAGCCCGCTTTCCCACGGCTGGTCGCACATGCGGCTCTGTGGGCTGCTGATGGGTGGCATGCGATTGGCCAGGCGTGAGGCCCGTCAGCAGCCCACAGAGCCGCATGTGTAACCAGCCGTGGGTAAGCGGGGTATGGCAGTGGCGGCAATGGCTGCGTGCAAGCACCCCTGCTTCCCCCCAATCCGGCTGCCACCATTAGAAGAGGTACACTTGCTTAAAAAGGTTGAAAAGCCCTGCCCTATGTGGTAGGCCTTTCCCAACAGCAAGTGTTGCCTTTCTGCCTGGTGCAGGGGGCTGGACCTGATGATCTTCCGAGGTCCCTTCCGGCCCTAATGTCTATGAATCTATGAACAGCAAGTTGGCATGCTCTGCCTATCTGATTGAGCTGGATAGGGAACAATGGTCCATGGGGATGGAACAAAGCCCATTCGCTGAGATAGCAGTGGGATCCACTGTCTGCTTCATGCTAACTGCCTGGGTCCAGGGATGCGTGCATGGAATTAAGATGGCAGGAGGGATGATGCCTTTCGCCCTCAACCATATGAAGCTGTGTGGGGTCAGACCAAAATCTGTCTGAGATGCTAACAAGTGTAGCATGAATCATCTAATACAGCTGGCCAGATGTAAGCCTGGGTCCAACCCTTGTAGTTTTAGTTAGCATCTTTCCTGTGCAAAATGCTAGTGAGGTGGCCAGTGGTGTGTTAAAGAGGGAAGGACTTATGGCAAGATGTTAAGAGGTGAAATGAGTCAGAGAGAGAGTGAGACTTCTCCAGAGACAGATCAGTGCAAATGGATGAGTGACTCTCTCAACCAGCAAGTCTTCAAGGGGGAAGGCCAGGGAAGACAAATGCTGGAAGAGACAAATAAGTGCACCAAAGAGTAGGTGGAGGGATGAGGTCAGGGAGGAAGGATGTGGGGAGCTCTTGGAGAGTTTTGCACCAGGAGGCTGGTTTTGAATTGAGCCAGAGATGGCTAGAAAGCCAGCAGCAGTTTCTAGCAGAGGAGAGGGGCGTTGTGGTCTCACTTCCCTGGCAAGGAAGCAGTTTGGCCACAGTCTCCAAGAGCACCTGCAATTTAGAGTAGCAGCATAGAAGAGGGAATCGTAATAGTCAAGTTATGAAGTGTTGAAGGCGTGAATGAGGATTTCAGCAAAAATAAAGTTGCTACATGAGCGAATGTTGGCAACGGCAATCTGGAGGTGGGACAGTCAGATTTACTGAGCCAGGCACTGTGGGAAGGAAAGAATCCAAGGCCAAGGATGACTCCCAGATTTCTAGACTTAGCAACAAAGTGTAAGTCTAAAATAGGAGTCAGAGGCAAAGCACAAACTAGACCTTTAAGCAGAAGAACATCATGAGTCATTCAGGAACTGGACCTCTGGGCTGTCACAGGCAAATTGCAAATCTTTTGATGGAAGGAGGAAAGAGCTTTCATGAGGGGCCAGATGCATCTTATATATCACTTGATGCCAGAGTTGACAAAGACTGGCTCATGGCTTGTATATGAGACTGTTCAGTTAGTACCATGATGCATACCCGTGATATTAAACCCTCTGTTACAAGGACAGACTTGGTGCTAATCATTCATTTCTGCTTCTATTTTAATCTTCGTTGTGGGACTTAGGCATTGAATGCCTTGTGTTTAGAGCAATGGTTTATAACACGTCCGCCCTGCTTCTCTTTGTCAGCCATTCCACAGTGAGTTTACCTTGTTGGAAACAGTAGGTATGAGAAGCTAAACAACGTATCCCGGCCTGAATGAGTTCCAGGATGCACAGGCAGTGCTGAGCCCTATCATTTAGTAGCCCAGGGTCGCTTGCTTACTGGCGCGCACTGCTCCGATGAAGCGCAGAAGTGGAACAGTGTTTTTGGTTCTACATCCTACACCCTGTGCCTTGAGGCTGGCTGTACTAGGAAATGTATAAGCCATGGACTACAACCTTAAGGTGGGACTAAAGGAACCTAATGTTCCCAGTCCTTGGGGGAGCTCAGAGACCAGTTTCGTCAGCCCAGACCTGTCCCTGCTACAACCAACTTCCTCCTCTTTCTGGTCGTTTCTGTTTTTGTGCAACATTTTAAAGGTGTGTCTCTCTTAGGGAAAGCTGTTCCTGGCCTTCTGGTGAGAAAACCTAGCCTTTACAATTCGCTGGTCAAGGGCATGTTGTATGTTCCTCCATATCCAATCCACTGAGGATGACAGTTCATTATTATCCCCATCTACAGAGCCTAACTCTTAGCTCAAGCTGTAGGAACTCATGTCTTTAACTCAAGCTGCCCAAGATGGCAACGGTCACTCTTCCAGCAATTTATTTCCCCTTCAGTCCACAGCTTGCTTCCTGACTCCTTTATGCCCTGAATGATAAGGTTAGATTACGTTGATCTTTGTTCAACTTTGGAATATCCTTGGTCTGAAATTATGCCAATGTGTTGATATTTAGGGCATACGGCAAAATGAGCTTTTTGTGGGCACTTGAGGTAAATGGTTTTAGTGGGGCATCTGCATGGTAGGGGGATTTTATTTGCAATGTTTCTTGCTGACTGACTGCTTCCTGTTGTGGTATAGGAAGAGTAAATCTGCTGTCAGTTTTTGGCATTAATTCTCTGGCTTGCAGTTAGAATGGATGAGAAGGTACCTGGGGCGAGGGGCACATCTCATCTGATAGTTGCAATAAAATCAGCTTTGGTTAAATTGATTGGAAAGTATTTAATTGTTTATGTTCTTTAAATTGAAAGAAACAAATGTGAGTAGTTACTAGTGGCCTGAAAGTATTTGCCCATATTTTAAACTCAGTCACAGTAGCTAATTGGAGCACACCCCAGGATTCTCCTGGAGCCATATAAAGAAGGATTTCCTCTTATTTGTTCTAGCTTTACCAGCTACTGCTCTAAAGTGACCTTCTCCCACATTTTTTCTCACCTGCAGTGAGTGGTCCGAACTGCTGTGTTACTTTGGCCACCCAATGTTTGCATTTCTCTTCTCCAGCCTTCCTGCTTTTCTCTTGGCTCTCTTCTTACATGGGGTTTCCAGAAAGTGCAGGGCAGACATAGAAAAATCCCAGCTACTTCTTACAAGGACACTTCTGTCTGGAGCTGAAAAAGGCAGGGCTCAAACTGAAGAGGAAGTTGGGATTAGCGCCACTATATTTACAAGAGAGTAGGGTTGCATTTAATCTGTATGGAAGGAGCCAACAGAATGGAAGAAAGAGTTTTCCATGTTCATCTTTTTTTATTTATTAGAAGCCAAAAGATTGGATTTTACAGCCATATTAAAACAAAGGTACACACACCAGACTCCTGATGTGTTAAAATGGTAATAAAATAATACTTAGCGCTGACCGTATGTAGCTATTTGCATTTTCAGAGGACTTTATTGCATTAGCTATGCCTCACAACAGTACTGGGAGGCCCTCAGTTACACGCACTTTCAGAAACTGACTTCAAGATTTATAACCTACCCTGCAATAAGGCACTGGGGATGTGTACAGCATATTATAATACACAGTGGCCCCAGAATCATCCCTCTCTACAACAGCTTGCAAGGTCTGCAAAATTGGCCTAATGTGTCTGTTCTCTAAAAATATTCTCATTTAGGGGTGGGCTGACGTGAGTGTTTTTGTGGCAAAAGTCCAGAGAGCACAGCAGCTGCACTGAGGTCAGACTTGCAGCCAGCAAGTACTTTTGCCATTAGCCTTGCAACCTAACTGGATGGTGGCAGACTTCTCTGGGCTACACACAATCGGCTAGTCAAAATCTCTCATCTCATTCTGTTCTGAAGATGGATATGTGGCATGGAGATCCCACAGATGGTTTTAGCCTAGGCACATGCAACTCGTGCCTCCTGAAGCTGGGAGGCATGGCGACCGCCTGCAGGCAGCGATGCAGGCAGTGATGCAGGCATTGGTGGCGAGGCTGGGCCGAGCGGGGACCGACTGTCCACAGGCAGCTGTGGTGGTGTTGGTGGCGGTGGTGTTGGTGGCGGGGGGGTGTTCCCCCTGCGGCCGGACACTGAGCCTGGAAATGCCAGTGGTACTTCTTC